AGTTGAACCAGACTCTGGGAAAGGATAAGTGGAAGTTCAAAACTGGTCATTAAGTGGTGAGAGTGTGTTTGGTGGGTGAAGAGCATGGGGAAGGGTTGGAGAAATGTGAATAAGCGAGACATTTTGCAGATAAACAAGAAGCTCACTATGACAGGAAGATACAATGAATTTATTTATTCATTCCACAAAGAATTGTTGAATGCATATTGCCTGTGGGAGATTATTCCAAGTACTGGTAATATAGCAAAGTAAATGGAGACTGACTCGTAGGAGATGAGAGTAGAGAAGAAATCTGTCCTCAAAACAAGCAGACTTGTTCTGTGACTCATTAAAGACCCGAACTACTAATGCTGGACTTTTAAAAACATCTTTTTACTTTGTAATGGCACAAGTATTGGTGTGACTATATCCAGAATATTTTAAAGCAACCTCCAGACATATCATTCCACAGGGGGTACACTGTAGAGAGAGATTTACTCAGTATACAGTTGGGAATTCTAATAATTTGAGCTGCTTAGTAAGGAAAAAGCTGCCTGGAAGCAATAAGAATGCACATCACTGAAAACACCCAGACATTGGACAGGTATGTTTCATGACCTTCTAGAAGGAGGACTGTAGATGAGATGAGGCTGCCAGCAAATGACGTTACAGTTTTTCTAGAGCTGAAATTCTACATGTTTCCCACTGTGCACAGAAAATTCTATAAGTTAGGGGGAAAGATAGAAAAAATAGTTTTTGCATGCATTGATGTACAAATACAGTTCATATGAATGGGCCAAGGACATCGATAAAATTAAGTGAAAATTAATTTAAAATAAGAAGGAAAATTATGATAGCATGCATTTTATTATCTGTTGAATATTCTATTGTTTCAATATTAGAGTAAAAATGAAGGCCCAGAGGATGGTTGTCACCATGTAGAAGACTTTGTCACAGGCAGTCTGTGATCTTTCTCTACTTCCCCAGCTAATGAAATCCTTCTTTAGGTCACCAGACCCGGTAGATGATTCTGCAGGTTTCTAGTGGTAGCATGCCCATACAGGATCCTAGACCCCAAGATACTGTATGATGTCATGGATGGTATGAGGTCATAGGTGTGTATGAGGTCATGGGTGTGTATGAGGTCATGGACGTATATGATGTCATGAAGAAAAGGACAGTTATTACTTCTACTTTTTAACTTAAAAATGGAAAATGAAATAATTGTGACCAGTAATGAAAACATTAGCCTTCCTTGCCTCTGGTTTTTAGGTTTTGCAAATCAGTCAAGGTGAGAGATTAGATTTTTTTTTTCTATGCTAGTGTATGTTATTAAACATGAGGCTAATAGGATTTTACTTTCCTCATTGGGATTGAAAAGTTATTATTTACTTTCCTCGTTGGGATTGAAAAGTCATTACTTGAAGATTGTAATGTAGTAGAAGACAAGCTCCCTGAGGACAGGGGTTTTGTCAGTTCTGTTTGTAGCAGTAATCAGTGCCTAGAGCAGTCCCTTGAATCAGTAGATAGTTGATCGATGTCTGTGTCATGTATACATTAAAAACTGCTCAGAGGCCGGTAGTAATCTCAGCACTTTGGGAGGCCAAAGCACGTGGATCACCTGAGGTCAGGAGTTCAAAAACAGCCTGGCCAACATGATGAACCCCTGTCTCTACTAAAAATACAAAAATTAACAGGGCATGGTGGTAGGCGCCTGTAATCCCAGCTACTCGGGAGGCCGAGGCACAAGAACCGCTTGAGATGGAGGTTGCAGTAAGCTGAGATCGCGCCACTACACTCCAGCCTGGGCAACAGAGCAAGACTTTGTCTCAAAAAAAATAAAAATTTAAAAATAAAACTGCTCAGAGACTTTTGGGAACACTGTGTCACCTGACGTTGCTAGAAATAATTCACTGAAATGATGAGGGCTGTTAAATCTCGGCCTTATTTCCTTTAAGTGATATAACTTGTCTTCCATATATTCAGAATCCTTACACAGTTTTAGGAAACTCTCAAATTTATGACATGATTTAAATATATCCTTAATATGCATCTAGAAACATCGTTAAAGAGCAGAATTTCCAGCTACATGAGACTGTCGTAAGTGATACAGCCCACAGGAAGTTGACTGCGGATGTCTTGTCATCTGACCCATCCCTTTCTACATTTCTGACAAGCAGTCAGCTACTTTCTGAATAATCCCAGTGACAAAGTGCTCACCGCCTCAGAAGGCACGTTACGTCACTATAGGAGTTCCGTAAACACTAGCCATCCCTGTTACATAGAACTACATCTCTAACTTCTGCTCATTCAACTTCCTCCTTCCTTGAGATCAACACAGAGAATGTCAACACCTAGTCATCCATGAGACCACACTTCAGCTCTTTGAAAACAGCTCCTGTATTTGATCTTACACTTCCTTAGGCTGAACTCCACTTGGTCCTTAGAAAAACAATAGCAGCAATAGCTCCTGTTTTTTGTGCATGTACTTAGCTAGCACAAAGTCAGTTTCAGACATTTTACACCCTTGTGGCTAATCATCACACTAATGTTAGAGATTTTATTAAACTCACTACCATATAATGCAACTAAGATCTAAAAAGGTTAGGTAATTAGCCCCAAATCATAAGGCACATTCAGTAGATGGGTGACCTGGAATTTTAAACCCTGTCTGCTAGATTTCAACATCTAGAATGTTATTTCCACTTAAGTAACTATTTATACAGCAACTAACCCATCCAACAGCAATTTATTGCCTAAGTCAGGCACAAATGGAAATAAGATGGATTTTCTTTCAAGTAGCTCAGTCTAGTGGGGCAGAAGACACACAGTTACAAATAACTTTAATATAGTGTGGTAGTTGATATTGAATCCCACCTCCTCAGCTTGCAAACTATAGAAATGTGGGCAATCTCTTTGTAGTTCATTTTTCTCTGATGTAAAGTAAGCATGTTAATCATCTACTTCGAAGGGTTTTATGAGGATTGAATGGAACAGTATGGGTAACATGCTTAATACTATCCCTGGCACATAACAAGTACTCAGTAAATGACAGCCTTAACTCTGTATGTACAAGATGCCCCGGAATCACCAAAGAGGGACACCTCATCCTGCTTGGAGACAAGTGGCAGGGAATGGAGAAATGCAGGCCCTGTAGGGAGTTCAGGGAATGCTTTTCAGGGGCAGTTACGTCTGGAGATTAACATTTGCATTGAGTCTGTGGAAGGTACCAGGACTAGAGGGAGATGGATGGTTTGAAAGATGGTTGGAAAGTTGACATTGTAGTGGGTGCTACAAGTCATGGTGTAGGCTTTGCAATTCTTCCTGTATTCAGAGTGTAGCTGAGAGGGCGGAGGTCACTGAACAGTTTTAGATTGGGTCTCTTCTGGATGGCTTTTAAGGCTATGAGGAGGAGCATGGATCTGTGGAAGACTGGAGATGGGAAGCCAAGGGCAAGAGGTTTTCACAGTAGCCTTAGTAGGAACAATGAGGGCATTTGTACCAGAATAGAACAGGAATGGAGACGATGGGATCAACTGAAGAATGGAGGTAAAAACAACAGGATGTTGGAATAAAGAGAGGGAGTTGAGAATGAGTTTCCTGTTTTGGCTTAAGTTACTTAGGTCAGGTGGTGGCGCTACCAGTGAAAGGAGAATAAGGGAGGTGGAAGGTTTAGAGAAGTCCATGAGGAATTCTGTTCGGGTGAAAGTTTCATGTGTTGAGTCTGGAGCTATGGAATACATGGGCTATGGATATGGGTTAGAAATGCTCCAGCATCCAGCTTGCAAGAGGTTACCTGGGCACAGGTGAGGGATAAGAAGCAGACAGGCAGGGAGAACCCTGGATCTGCCTACACTGGTCTTAGATTTTACTAAGCCCAAAGTCATCCACATTTGCTGGGAAGAATGTGCACTAATAATACAGCCTTCCTAGATTCCCATGCTTAAACTAATGACCTAGAGGGAAAAAAGAGAAAACTTTAGCTTTATAAAAGAAAGAAAATATATTAGAAATGCAGACAGAGTCTCCTGGGAGAAACGGCAACCTTACCTTAAGAACTGTAGTGAGAGGTTTTGCATTTGTTTGTGTTTTTTTTTCATCAGATGTGTTCTATCCAAAGTTTTGTGTTTAAATATGTACTTTTCATTGTTGAATTACTTCCTAACTGGCTCTGGTTTCTTGCTCTCACCATAATGGCAGACATTTCTTCAGAAATCTTCTTAGACGTACTTCTTGATATTAATCTAAGTGGAATCTGTAGGCTACCTAAGACATTCATGATTCCACAGGCATGAAAAGAGGATAAACGTTGGTGTTAGATCAGGCTTTCAGTTATGAATGTGCTGCTTATTACCTGTGGACCCTTGAGCAAATTAGCGCCTTATTTGAGCCTTAACTTTCTCAGTTGTAAAAGGAAGTAATAATGTCTGCTTTATGGGCTTAATTCTAAGGATTATGTTGAATAATGGATAAAATGCATCTGACATGTAATAGATGCTGTACTAACATTACCACCCATGTTATTATTTTTTATTTTTCAGAAATTTGGTCTTTAGGAATAAACTTGTATTTTCAGTCAGTTGATAATGATGATGATGATGATGATGATAGAAAATAGTTACATGTTGCTTTACTCTGTGCCAGGCATTATTCTAACACTTTACATCTCTTAACAGATATGATCCTTATAACTGCACTGTGAGGCAGGCTCTGCTATCATGCCCATTTTACAGATGAAGAGACTGAGATTTAGAGGTTATATAACATGCCCAACTGATTGGTTTGGGAATAATCAAACTGAGATGATAAATTCTGCACAATTTCTTTTTATAGCCCTCTAAAAGGAAGCCTTGATCATCGGCTTCTCATGTCCGTATTTGGATGTTTCCAAAATGTGTGCAGAACATATGCTGATTAGGGGAGTTAACAGAATTTTCTAACATTAGCTAAGATGTTTTCAAAATTGCCTTAATGCTCCACTAACAGTGTGACACTCTAAATAATGTTCTGTCTAATTTCAGCCTGTGAAGTTGAAGCGGGGAAAGTATACCAGGTCTCCTCAAAAGAGCACATGCAGCCTTTTAAAGAAAACATGGAACAATTTATTATTCAAGGTAAATTCCAAAGAGATGTGTTATGTTTTTCTCCCCTTTCAGCAGAAAAAAAAAAAAAACAAAGGTAAAAGGCATTGTTTGAAAAATACATATTGCTTTAAAGGGCTTATTTTGACATTACAGAAAAACAGATTAAGTTGAATTATGAGTCACAGAGTTGTAAGAGGCTAGCAATTTGATAAACATGCTATTTTGTGGATAATGTTCATTATTAATGTTTGCTTGCATGACAGTAAATACACTAGATATTAGTTAAAATAACTCATCTTTGTAAGACATTAACAATTCTATGCTTTTTGTGATAGAAAATTAGATGGTATTATTTTACATTTTAATTGTGCTGATGACCTCATTTCAACCTGGTATTTATTTGACTTGTCAAAACATTGTATCCAGAGAACAGACTATATTGATGTTGTTCAGATCTTCAGAGCATTATTTGCCATTTTTTAATGGGATACACCAATACCTCTGGATATTCAACACCTTTCTTCCAGGGAGCTTAAAAACATTATAAATATTATCTCATGGACTCTTCCTGCATTTCTAGGAGATAGGCAGGGATGGAAAATTTTAGAAGACAATAAAGAAACAAAAAAATTTAAGAGGAAAACATCTATTAAACGTCTTGATGTTTGAAATCACTGAAACTTATAATTATATCAAAGCATTTACTACTCAAAATATTTCAACTTTGGAATGTTCCATCTCCTCTGAAGATCAGATTTGTATCATGCCACGCTCTGGGAAAGTGCTTTCTGTTTCAGGAATTCTCCTAGAGGCTGACATGGCTTGAGACTGAGGCCAAGAAAACTCTGAAGATTGGCTCCATACTTTATTTTGTTATAGGTTGTTCAAGTGTCATTAATGATGACTTACAATGAATTAGTCATACTACAATTTGATTAAATGTTAGGCACAGCTTTTTTTAAGATGGGAAAATACTATTTAATCATTTAAGATAATTGTGAAGATTGAAACAGAACTCTGGTGAAACTCATAAATCAAGGTGAATGTCATTTTCCAATTCCGTGGTCTTCATAACTTAGAGTGGAAAATCTATTCATTGATTCTTAAAGGATCCTTTGACTGAAATCGTTAGTCCTGTAGTAAATATTAGGGAACATATTGTAAACTCATTCCACTCTTAGTAGTGAATAAAAGTGAATCGTGCTTTTTCCATCTAGTGGGTTTGTGGAGTCAAGAATATGTAGCACATTTTTAAAAAATGTAACAGGAAATAATATAGGTAAAAGCATAGAATATTCATTTTTGTCGTATAAGAAGAAAGGAATCCTTAATCCTAGAATTTATTCAAAAAAACAATCAATCTATTCACTGGATTTCACATCCAAAATGTAAACAAGTGTCACTCATATTCTTGGTCACATTATATGTGATTTATTAAATAATCTTTTGAATCCACAATTTATAGACCAGGCGTTGAGACTGGTGTTTTCCATACCGAATAGTGAAATTACATTTTGCAACACATGTGCTTTCAAAATACAGACTGTCAGCCAAATATCATATCTCTGATAGTCATTTATAATGATTTGAAAGGCAGTTAGAGGTGTTTAGGATTTGTCTAGTGGTTCCCTGGTAGGAAAGATGGGATTGCCCAGTCATACTAAATATGTAAGTAAGTATCTCTTTGGATTTTAACAACCTTTCAGATTTTTTTTTTTTTTTTTTCCTGAGACGGAGCCTTGTACTGTCACTGGACTGGTATGTAGTGGTGCAATCTCAGCTCACTGCAACCTCCACCTCCCAGGTTCAAGTGATTCTCCTGCCTCAGCCTCCCAAGTAGCTGCAATTACAGGTACCTGCCACCATGCTCGGCCAATTTTTTGTATTTTTAGTAGAGACGGGATTTCACTATGTTGGCCAGGCTGTTCTTGAACTCCTGACCTTGTGATCCACCCACCTTGGCCTCCCAGAGTGCTAGGATTACAGGCATGGGCCACCGTGCCCAGCCAGGAAGATCTTTTAACCTCCTTATTATGAAACTCAGATATTAACTCTTTTTTATACTTCTCCATGTTAAATGAAAACAATGTTGTAAGGATACTAACCTATATACTGTATTCTTAGAAGTAGGAAATGCTTCACCTTTTTGCTGTTAAGTTAAACAAGATAAGTCTTCATGGCACCCCTTCCACCACTTTCAGTTGCCTTTTTGTTTCTTCTCTGCATCTGCTCTTCTGTGTTCATTTAAAAATTATTTTAACGCTTTCAATATGCCCAGCTATTCTGTTGGGTATGATTTACAGCAGTGAATGAGAAAATGTATGTGTCTTAATGGACCTTACATTCTGCATTACCTGGAAGACAGGTGATAACAACAACATAAACAACAACAGAAAATTTTTTGAAAAAAAACCTGTGTACATCAAATGTGTGTAGATAAGTGTGTTAACAATATGAAAGAATAAAAGTCTCACTTTAAGCATAGTCACTCTCAAAGCTGTTTTCAATAACATGTAGAGAAACAATGGAGTTCCAAATATGTTTCCTGTTCTAGTCCATTTTCATACTGCTATAAAGAACTGCCCGAGACTGGGTAATTTATAAAGAAAAGATGTTTAATTGACTCACGGTTCAGCAAGTCTGGGGAGGCCTCAGGAAACTTACAATCATGGCAGAAGACAAAGGGGAAGCAAGGCGTCTTCTTTACAAGGCTGCAGGCAGGAGAAGTGCTGAGCGAAGAGGGAAGAGCCCCTTATGAAAAAAACCGTTAGATCTCGTGAGAACTCGCTCCGTATCATAAGAACGGTATGGGGAAACTGCCCCCATGATTCAATTACCTCCACCTCATCTCTCCCATGACATATGGATTATAGGCATTACAGTTCAAGATGAGATTTGAGTGGGGACACAAAGCCCAACCATATTATTTCCCTTCAAATAAATTTTTAAGGCCAGGCCCAGTGACTCACTCTCATAATCCCAGCACGGTGGGAGGCTGAGGTGCACGGATCACATGAGGCCAGGAGTTTGAGACCAGCCTGAAACCCCATCTCTACTAAAAATACAAAAGTTAGCTCGGTATGGTGGTGCACACCTGTATTCCCAGCTACTCAGGAGGCGAAGGCATGAGAATCACTTGAACCTGGGAGGCAGAGATTGCAGTGAGCTGAGATTGTGCCACTGCAACCTGGGAGACAGAGCAAGACTCTGTCTCAAAAATGTAAAATAAAGGTAAATTTTTAAGGATGTAGCCAATTCTTTTGCCCTCATGTTTCTTCTAGTTTATCAGGACATGATTCTAAAATTAAAATTATAAACTAAAGAAAATACCATCTTAGCACAAACAAATGCCAAATCTTTGCTTATAACTAGGCTTCCATCAATAATAGTATTCTTACATCAGCCTCTGTGCTTAGATTCATTTATATGGGTATGATTATATTTTTGTATATACAAGCAAAGTGTTTTTTAATGTGCCTCATCCTCAAAATCTAAAATCTCTTGAGCAATTCAAGAAACTATGCCCGATACTGCCCAAATGTCTGTATTGCATTAGCTGCCTCTGTATAACAGAAACATCTCTTATCCCTGTAATTCAGCTATTGTGTGGTCAGTGATCCCACACTCTAAGAGTCTTACGGAATTCATCTAGCCCTGCAACCCATTCAATTTTCCCTCTCTATCTTCCTAGTTCTACTGAAGCCAAGATTTCATGGTCTATGTTTAAACACCTCCTCACTGGGAACATCTCTCACCTCTGCCCTAAAAGAGGCAGATTTAGAGAATGTAGCCCTACTGTTGTAAGGCATTCATTGTTTGTGAAGGTGCTAGATTTGTACTCTCCTTAGGAGAATTGAGAATATACTCACTCAAAAATTGTTCTGACCACCACCCAGCTTTATGTTCTTCATAACACTTATCACTGTCTGCAACTGCATCATTTAGTTGTCCTTCGATAGTATAAGCTTCATTAAGAAGGCAATTTTGCATTGCTTCTTGCTGTAACCCCATACCCAGAACAATGCGCAGTGCAGTGTACACTGTCTTGCTCACGGGCATAGGTCCAGCAACCCTCATTAAGCTCATCTCTTTGCCTTCTCCATATTTGCACCACAGTATTGAGCAGCTGATCATTTTTGTTTGTAGGAAGGTCCTTACAAGGACACTGACTAGTTGTCACTTTAAATTCATGAACCCACTGACAGAACTCATATTTTTCTCGACAATGTTACTAGATTTCCCTTGCAAATTGAGCTTTCTCTATTTCTGAGATTTGTTTATATCATCCCTTCCCAAATCTTCACAATCTTCCTGTTCCATTTACCTATGTCTCTAATGATAACCTCACCTTAAACCTCAATGAGAAACAGTTACGTGATTATACAGAAGCTCCCACACCTACCCACCATCACATTCTGCAAACCAACAGCATCTGAATCTGTACTTTCTGTGCATCTTTCACTACAAGAGAAGGAAAGTCCTGCTCTCATTAAAGGCAGATCCTTACCCACATGCTCTGGACCTGATACTCCTATTTTTATCCAGGAATCCACTCCTAGAGTTACCTCCCCTTTCTCTCTCAACTGCAGTTGTATGTTTTCCTTCTGGGCTTGATTCCTTCAACAGCACTCAGATGTACTCTATCTTACAGAGCATGAAACTATAAGAGGGGTGCTAAATATACACCTGTGGAGAGGACAAGTCTTTTTAGTGACTGTAATACTTGATTATTGGAGGAATGATTGGAGGGTGAGAGAGTGTAAACTACAGAAGGAAAAAAATACAACACAAAGAAATGGACACAAGCAAGTTGGTAGTTGCGTTGTGGGAGGGAGTAGAGTGTGATGAGGCTGAACATATATTCCTGGCTGAGGGACTTAGGCTTCATCCAGAAGTCTTGGGGAGCAGAAGTTGCTCTTGGGGAGCAACAGTTTCCCATTGATCAAGGGATCAGTGGGGGCAGATCAGACTTGGAAGCAGGAGACCACTTTTAAGATCGTTATGGTACGCTGGTAAAGCAATGAGAAGGC